TACTGTTTTATTACATCAATCTTACACAGCAGTGTCTTACGCTGTGTTATATTGCGTCTTACAGTGTGCTTAGGGTTTTCTTTTTTTTTAATCCCTGCTTGTTTTTCCTGTTTTGTTTACACTTTAAATACAAAGATTTCTGTTATCTTTGGCGCTTATCCTCTCACAAAAGGACTTCACATTTTTAAAAACTCATTCAATTGACTTAAATTCAAGAAATATCTTACAAATTTTACTCCATGTGTGAGTCTTGTAATCTTATTCTTTTAAGGATGATTCGTATTCTGAGAAACTAGTGTGGTTTGTGGTTTAGAGTCACAGTTTAAGTTGCCCTTATGAAGAATGAAAAACAGCTGGTGTCCAAGAAGCTCTGGAAATTTGTCAAGAAACTAATTGTAGAATAGAAGCCAAGAGTTTGACTTGCATATCTTAAACTCTATCTATTATTTTTTGACAGGATACAGTGTTTGGAAAACTAAATATTTCTAAGTATGTGTTTTTCACTAAAATCATGGCCAATATACCCAAAGAAAATATTATACACTATAATATGAATGTCAGCAGTCTCATGTTCAAATTGTGTCCACTTAATTGAATCAAGCATATATGAACATAATCAAGTACTTGAAGAAGATAAAATCAGTTAATTTTAAGGGTATTTCTTTTTTCAAATTTTGAAAAACTTTTGTATTTTAGGTGCACAAGATAAAATATTATTATAAATGATGAGTGAACTTTAATTATAAATAATAATATCAAAATTGTTCCAAATTATAAACATATAACAATTCATAGGGATTTCAAATAAATTCACCAAATAATGCTTGATTACTGTCTGTACACAAGAAATTTCCCAAGAAAATAGATATCCAAAGGTGAATAAACAGACTTAGCCACTCTGAAAGCTTAAAATTAGGAAGTTTGCGGGAAATATACGAATAATTATAAATTGGATCTAATTTTGATGAGAGCAGTATGATAGACATAATAGGTTACAGTGACTCGAAGGAGAGCTCAAATATGGCTGTGAATATAGGAAGTGTCAATAAAGAACAAAACATTCTTAAAGCACACAGGAGATTTGGGTTTGATTCCTGGGTCAGGAAGATCCCCTGGAGAAGGAAATGGCAACCCACTCCAGTATTCTTGCCTGGGAAATCCCATGGACAGAGGAGCCTGGTGGGCTACAGTGTATGGGGTCACAAAGAGAGGGACACGGCTGAGCACGCACACACAAGTTAAGGAGAAGACAGTAGAAGGTGAGGAAATAGCATGGGAAAAGTTAGAAAAGTTGTGAATGAAGGTGATTTCAGGTCAGGCTGGTGCAATTAGAAAGGAGCCTTGAGCTGCAGAACATCCTCTTGTGAGTGTCCCACACTGCTATCACCCACTGAGGGGGACAGTTTGAACACAGAGCTGGGAGCAACAGTGAGGGTAAGTATCCTCAGTTTCTGAGGCCTATATTTGAGGTTAGGAATGGAACTTACTTTCAAATTGCTCACAATCCAAAGCAATGTTAAACGAATTAAAAGTAGCTGTGTTCAACTGAGATTTGTATTTTTCACCTGACCTGGGGGTTAAAGTTGCTTACATTCCTGCCCTGACCTCAAAGTTGTACTTCCCTCAAAGTTTCTCTGAGTCTGCATGAGGGATCCCGTGAATTATTTCAGCTGGGTTCATTTACTCCTAGAGACTTTTGTTGTTATTTAGTTGCTAAGTCATGTCTGATTCTTTTGCGACTCCGTGGACTGTAGCCCACCAGGCTCCTCTGCTCATGGGATTTTTCAGGCAAGAATACTGGAGTGGGCTGCCATTTCCTTCTCCAGGGGATCTTCCCAGCCCAAGGATCAAGCCCATGTCTCCTGTGTTGGCAGTGGATTCTTTAACACTGAGCCACCTGGGAAGCCCCACAGAGATTTAGGAGTTCACTAAACCAACCATGTTTTCTAACTGAACTAATCTGTTCCCCTCCCCCTAACCTTAGGGGCTTTACTCATGTTCTTCCCTCTGTCTGGAAGAGTCTTCCCTCATCTATCCATGTGTCTCCCTCCCTCCCCTTACTCCAGGACATTCTAAGGGAGCCCTTCACTGATTACACTATGAAATATGCAAACCTCAACCTGCTTTATTTTTCTTCATAAACTTATCACTTTCTGACATGCTATTTAATTTGTTGACATTGTTTATTGTCTGAATCCTCACCCAGGGGACCAAGGATTATCTATTTTATTCACAAATTTTTCCTGGGTGTTTAGAATAGTTTCTCACATATAGTAAATGCTCAATAAACAGTAAGTGAATAAATATATGTGTGATGAACTATATGGAGTATTTACATGACAATTTGAGACAATGTTACTTTACTTTATAGTATAATACTATACTACTGTTTTTCATTCTTTACTAAGTGAAGAAGTGAAGAAGGAAGTGGAAGTGTTAGTCTTTCAGTTGTGTCTGACTCTTTGTACCCCTTCGGTAGACTATAGCCCACCAGATTCCTCTGTCCATGGAATTCTTCAGGCAAGAATACTGGAGTGGGTTGCTATTCCCTTCTCCAGAGAATCTTCCCAGTCCAGGGATCGAACCTGGGTCCCCTGCATCGCAGGCAGATTCTTTACCATCTGAGGCACCAGGGGTGCCCTTACTAAGTGGAGGAAGATTTATAAAGCATTTACCATACAACTAGCATTGTATCTGGTTCTTACAAAATAAATCATATATAGTGGCTCCCATAGTTCAAAAGCAAATAATAAGAAAGGGATGCCAAACAGAATATGAAAACTATATGATTTCAGCTGGCATCATTAAGGAGGAAACAGATATCTTAGCATCTCCAGCAGTTCCCTCAGTGTAGTATTTGCTCAATCTAACAAATGGAAAGATGCCCCCCAATACAAGCATAGGCTTTGAAATTGCACAGACCTAAATTATAATTCCGGTGATACTATTCATTATCCAAACCACCTTTGCCTAGTCATTAACTTCTCTGGGCCTAAGTGATCTCATTTGTAAAATAAGGATCATAATCTTAACCTCATAGGGAGACTGTGAGCTATCAAATGAGATCATCTATGGAAACAATTAACCAAATCTTCCGCTTATAGAAGCAATTTGATAATTGCATGTGGAATCAATTTGTCACCAGTGGGGAAAAACATAACTGGAAAAATATGGCTTTTTAAAGTGCATTTCCACTGTGTTGTGATATTATTCATGATCATCCCTCTTTCCTCCATATTATTGAAATAATAAATTACACTACATATTGATTGGCTATTGTATAAATTGTTGTTCCCATTTTACAGAGAAGGAAGTTCAGTCTTATGTATATTAAGCAACTTGCACAAGGCCACAAAACAGGCAGCACAGTTAGGATTTCAACCAAGATGAGTTTCTCCCCAAAGCCAGTTCACTTGTGTTGATCCTCACCTTAGTCTGCATAGCGATGTAATCACCATCAAGTAGTACTCCCTAAACCTGCAGTCTGAAGAGCGTACCTATTTGAGCTTGTACAGAATCTTATGTATCATAAAATGTATGATGCTTGAAAACACATTTATTCCTCTCCTTCTGTCACTTCTAGAAACACCTGTTCAATGTGAGTAACTGCTCCTATTTTTAGATCTTGAACAGGTTTTCACTGGGCACGTTTCTCAGTAAGTTCACAGACACCCATAAAAACTAATGTTTCTTGAACATTATTTTTCTGTAGGATCTAGTCTAATTGTTCTACCCCTCAGCTATACATTCCCCATAATAACCCCTTGTGGCAGATAATACTTTTATCCTCACGTTAGAGATGATGAAAATAAAACAGAATTAGGTAATGAACTCATTCAACTTATAATTCCAGGACGGAGGTTTGAACCCAAGCATTTAGATTCCAGGCTCCACAGTCTTAATTATGAGACTGTATTGCCCCTCACACACAAGGAATGATATCTTCTTTTCCACTTTCATTAAGAAATCCTAGAAAAATGCCTTTGAGTCTGAAATCGTACTTCTATGAACCATGACTCTCTTACATTTGGCAAGTCTTTATTTTTCTTGTGACAGTGATATCTACAATTAATAAGCTTAATTAAATAAAAGAAAGAAATTTAAAAACTGACAGAAATCACTAAATTTAGGTCAGCACTTGTAAAATGTTGTTAGTGATACCAACTTCCCCACCCCAGCTTAGAAATACCATATTGGTGGTCTTCATTGCCTTAAACAGGCTCCAAGCTGTGCTCTTTGGAGGTGCTGGAAGTTTAACCATAACCTTGTATAAATTCAAAACCAAATATTAAGAAACTTTAAAAAGACATCTACTCTTTTAATATCAACTTAAAAAAAAAAACTTTCTAAGTAAAACAATTTAAACACAGCCTATTTTTTGTTTTGTTTTTAAGAGAGAGCAAAGAATGTGTTCAAGGCAAGTTGGAACAGTGCACAAATGTGCTGGCTTTGCTGTTATCTGAACGACAAAGCATTAAATCACAGGGAGGAAAAAGTCAGCATGTTCTCTGAGAATACAAATAGATTAGTGTCAGAAGCAGCTTTGTCCAAGAAAGGGAAGAGACACCTACCCAGAGAATAAATCATGTACACAAAACCTATAATTAAAAGAAAAATTATTTTCAAGAAATATTTTAGTTGATAAATATGACTATTAGACAAACAAAGCACAGAGAAAGTTCCCTGTGACTTTTATTTTTTTTTGAGGAGGACCTTTCAAATGTGATCAGTCATCATACCCCACTCTTTATCTCTTTCTCATATAAGACCTGTTTCATCAAGGGTTATGGAACTCACACAAAAGTATTAGATACTTTCCCTCCCTTTTAATTCTATGATAGAACAGTCTTTAATTTACCAGGCACTTCAGAACCTTCCCTAAGAGAAAAGGTGCAAAAAGCTCCATATCCTTTAGCACACAAACTCTTTAAAGCCTCTCAACGTACACTTTAAAATAAAGCGTCCTCCCTCAGAATTCAAAGAAAACACATTTCTCTTACCATATATTCCATGTTTGCTGCTGGTGGGAACACTTTGCCCCGAACCTGGTTATGATAATCAAGAATGGCGATCATGTCATTCTGCGAAATGTAGCGCTTCCGCCTGGTTTTGGGGATATCCGCAGAGTCTAGTTGTGCTTCCAGGGCTGCTTCAATATCAGTGAAATTATTGGTTGGCGGGGATGAGTCAGTGGAATTGAGTAAGACGACGGCACTGGCTTCACAGAGAAGGGAGAACAGGAGTGCACTGCTGACTGCAGAGACTGCTATCATTTTGAGAGGTGGAGAGGAAGAGGCCACCAGTTTACTTTGCCTTAAAGCAGAAAAGTAGAGTTAGGGTCTATGAAAGGGAAAAGCAAAACAAAACAACAAGAGGGCCAGAGGGTATGAATTTACAAAATCAGTGCTTGATTTGACTGTCTTCAAAAAATCCACACAAATGTTGAAATCAAGCCTAGGAGATAAACTGTAGTGGTCTCTATACATTTTACTTGGTGTTATGAGGCAAACCCATAAGAGGAACTTCCTATAGCTAGAGAAAAATAAACAGCATGACTACTCACCCTAAATTGAATGTGAGCCATTTACCCCAAATGCCTGAGTCACAGAATGCATTACTGCATATTTATTTTCAGAGGGAAAACTTAAGGAATTGAAACTCATCTTGAGAGTGAAAGGAAAACTGCATCACAGGTAATAACAGAGAATGTGCTGACAATGTCCCCCAAACATATATGGACACCAAGTAACAGAATAGATACAAAAAAAAGTTATAATAACCCAATCTCACTTCTAAAAAAGTAAAAATGTGAGCTACTTTAAAAGCAATGCATGCAAAATAAACTTGTTGAGCTAAATAGCTTACCTCTGCACAAAGCCAAAATGAATATAGTATTCTTCCAAAAATGTAAAGTTCTTTGCTAGGTTGTAGCATGAACTCTTGTGAGAGGAGTGTGTCTTATTACAAATCTCAGAGCAAAACTCTACAAGGTTTGAGTGCTGCTGGCTACAGGAGCAGCTAACAGCTTTTATATGTCACAGTCTGCAGCGGTCCAGAAAGGGCAGTCTTTCTTAGGGTCTCTCCTAGCCAAAATCAAAGGGGAGGGGTTTTGGATAGAAAAAACAGTGATTGGGTGGCAACCTTTTTATGTGGGTGGTGAGGAAATTGAGTCACACCCACAGCTTACCAAGTACAAACCATAAAAGACAAGCCTTCTTTTCTCTGGGCTTCCACCTTTTCTGAGTGGTTAATTTTCCTCATTTAATGCTTTCTAGTTCCTGGTTCCCATACAAAAAGGAGAAAAAAAAAGGGGACTGTGAGTTCTTGAAAACACAGAAGGTTGAGTAACAAGCAGTACATTTCTTTTAGAAACAGTAAATGACATGGGAGCTGAAAAGAGCAAGCTGATATTAAATCAAAAGAACAGCTCACAGAGTTAATCTGGGTGGCCACAAATATGATTCAAAAGAGATGCCAGGCAAATCGGTAGTAGCCAAACTATAGCATATGATATTAGGATAATAGATGTTCAAGTGGTTGTACTTTTCTGTCTCCATGTGGCTTTATTCCTCTAATTTATATATTTAGTCTCTCTCTATCTCTTTCTCTTATTTCACTCTCTCTCCCTTTTATCCTTTCTCTACAGAGTGAGGCAACAGATTACCTGCCTTTTATCTATCTTGTATATAATACAAAAATAGACGCTCATGACAAATGACAGCAGCCAAGATAACATCTGTTTCAGGTTTAGAAGCATATAGTTGAAATTTTAAGCTAAGAGTAGCTTAGCTTCTCAGGAAACATATTGGAGGGCACAGCTTAGAGGCCATGAAGAATTTAAAAGCAGCAGTAGCTGCTGCCAACAGTCGGTAGTGCCTTCTTAGAAAGATGCCATTGGAGCAAAATCTGTCTGGCAAGACAAGAGCCAAGAATGTGACTATTAAGGCAATTTGTTTTAAAAAGACCCTCACAAATACCCCGTGTCATGATAACATTAACAAAATGTGGACCATTCTGTCCATGGCAACAGGAATCTTGTAAACCACACATTATTCAGTCAAGAAATTTGCTTAACATACACTGACCAGTCTACTTTGCCAACATGTGTTGTCTCCTGCATGTTTCAGCAGGAGGAGTACTATGTGAATTTATATTTGTCAGAAATGATGGTCATGTGGTAAGAAGCACATAAGACTGTGAGCCAAGTTTCCTGGGCTGTACTCCCAGCTGGGTCTCTAACAGTATATGTGGCCTGATGCACATAGTTTAACTCTTCATGGGTGCATCTAAAAATGGGAGAGAAAAGGTGTGCACCCAATGGTGAGATGAACTTCATCAAATTCCTTATGAGAGCAGTACAGTGTTAGAAACTGGAAGTGCTTCTGAAGTTCAAAATTCAGTGGTGAGATACAGTCTTTGATGTTAATAGCATGAGTCAAAGTTCAGGTTTTGCTCTATTTTGGTATTAAGTTCCTAACTAAATTTGGGTAATTTGAGAAGACTTTAAGCTGCAATACTAGAAGCAGTAAATAGGAATTAACATGGCAAAATTGAAAAGACAAGAACATCTAAAACAAGCACAGAAGGTGAGAGCGGGAATAGTATGATGCATCAGAGCAGCTTCAGGAAATGCTCATGACTGCTCCCAGCTGCAAGTTTAGCAACTGGAGCTGTCCAGCTAGGATCTCACCCCTACAGAAAATACTCGTGGCACCTTGACTGAATCTCAAAGATGCCGTGTTAAGGATTCCTACATCAAATAGGAGGTTAAGCAACATATTCTCTGTGGGCCATCCAACTCAAAGATTTCCAAGACCTTTTGAGAAATTATTACCACCACTGGTTAGCCTATCCTTTTCAACATACCTCTTATAGCTATCTGGCAAAGAGGAGGATAAAGGACTTACAATACCCTAAGTCCCCCGATGGCTCAGTGATAACCAATCCACCTGCAATGCAGGAGATACAGGAGTCATGGGTTCAATTCCTCAGTGGGGAAGACCCCTGGAGGAGGAAATGGCAACCCACTCCAGTATTCTTGCCTGGAAAATCCCACAGACAGAGGAGCCTGATGGGCTATAGACCACACGGTCACAAAGAGTCAGACATGACCAAGCATGTGTGCACCCACACAATGCCTAAGCAGCAGACAGGAGACTTTCTTTTTCCAGGGTGACTGAGTTCTTGCTTAGAATCTCAATCATTGCTTTCAAGGTTACTTCCTTGTCATGTATACAAAGAGCTATTGTTCATCCATTGAAGTTTGACTTGAGGTGCTTCTGCAGGGATAAAAATGTGTACTTTGAAAAACTTGTCTGAACCATGAATGGGTTTCCTATAAGAGAAAGCGGAAGGAGAAAGAGAAAGAAGGAATTTCTGAGATGGACCTAAGCATGCCCAGTTACATGAGGACAGAGCTGATAGTTGCTTAATGCTGAGACCCTGAGGCATGTCAATGATTTCAGATGTCTTTCAACACTCATGAATTACATTGTGGAATTCAGACTGTTAAGAGAACCCGCAAGGCTATGGAATCGTAAAAGAAGAGACCTGTGGGAGGAGAGTTAGAATTCTGCTTCCAAGCAGATGTTGTTGCCAGAAGAAGTATTTGAAATGCTTTGGAAGTGATTTTAATTTTAAAATACTTGCAAAATTAAGAGGCATACGTCTAAGTTGTCAGTAAAAGAACTACTAATGAACAACTAACAATGAGGTGGGTCTTTATGGAGCTCTTCTTGAAAAAAGATCATTGATGTGTTTAGAAACCTTTAGGGGAATGCTTGCCAACACAGACAGAAATGGAATGCAGTTATATTACTGAGAATAAACACATAGACAATTGGCAGCAACTATTGTCTACCTTGAAACCTGTGCAAAAATGGTTGCTGTTTTAAAATTGAAATCAGATATATTATGTGTCCCCAAATGGCACAACTTCTTAAGCACTTTGAGTGAGTATGTGGGGGTACAGATACACATATGGCTTTAGTCTAAACCATTTCTAATCAAAATGTATTCCATGGACTAGTAGCATTGACATCACAGGGAGCTTGTAAGAAATGCAGGATTTTGGGCTCAGTCCAGGACCTGTTGAGTTAGAATCTGCACTTTATCAGGATCCTCAGATGACTCATAAACTCGAAGTCTCAGAAGTACTATCTAAATTGCTTTTTTTTCAGACACACAGAGGCTCAACCCACTGTACACATGCCCACTGAAAAAGCTGTTTTAAAAATCCATTTATGTATAATAGTAACATGGGAGAATCAAAGATAGATATAGACAAATATGTTTAAAAAGGTGAACACAAGTCAACTTCTAGTTTATAAAGAGAAAAAGTTGACTGGGAAAAACTAAGTAGAGTGTCTTCACAAAGAAATGATTTAGTAGTGGTCAGGGTCTTTTTAACATTCCTATACTGACCCTATTTGTTATTTAATACATATTAATTTATCACAAGGTAGTTGAAAGAACTGACTGCACTATACATGAGTTTTGCAAATTGTGACATGCCATATAAATAGAAATTATAGCTTTATTCTGTCATCCCCAGGACAGAACCCCAGATCATCCTTTCCTTATTCATTCTCACCTTGCATTGTACATCCACTAGCTTTACAAAGCATGTGGATGTTTTATCCCTGAAAGGTCTTGCTGATATACTCACCTTTTATCATTATTATGTCTGCTTGGGGTTAATTCCACGGTCTCTCCCTAGTATTACTCTAGTGTCACTCCTGTTGTTCATTATCAACTTTGCCTTCTTAAAAACTGAACTGAATCATTTCACCCATTTGTGTGCAACTCTCTCTTTGTTCTCATTGCCCATAGAATCAAGTTCAAGTGACTTGATCTGCCTCACCAGTGTCTTGAGAATATGAATCAGTTTACGTTTTAAGCTTTATTTTCTTCAACCAATGGTTTCAATTTCTGTACCCTGCCCACACTTTATGTCCCAACTACACTTAACCACTGTTTTTTTTTTCTGTTGGCTTCAGTAAGTTAATGCTGTGTGACTATGCTATAAATAATTATTTATACATAATATGGACAATGAATAGTGTTATCAAAAGGAGGAAGAAAGAAGTGTGAATTTGTATGTTTATAGGGAAGGAGGTTGGGGCTTGAAGGAGAGCTAAACACTCACTTTCTATTACAGTAAACATATAACATCAGCTACTGCAAAACAAGTTATTCCAAAGCTTAGATATTAAAACAACAGTAAATATTTATGGTCTCATACAATTTCTGTGGGTCAGGAATTTGAGAGTAGCTTAGTTATTGTTCTAGCTCAGGGTTTCTCACAAAGTTTTAGTCAAAATGTTGGGACCAAATGTAGTCATATGTGGCTGGAAGACTTAAATGGGGCTGGAGGATTAACATCCAAAGGGGCTCATTCACTTGGCTGGCAGGTCGGTGCTGTTGGCAGGAGGCCAGCATATATGGACCTCACCACATGGACCACTGCACAGAGCTACCTGAATGTCCTCACAGCATTGAAGCTGGTTTCCGCATAGTGAGTGATCCCTGAGTGAGCAAGGTAGAAGCTCCAGTGTATTTTACAACCTATCTATGGCACTCCCACACCAACATTTCCATGATGCCCTGCTGGTTACATGAGCCACTCAGACCTCTTCAAGGATGAAGGAGACCATACAAGACCCTGACCCAGTAGATGAGAATCATTGAGGGTTCTCTTGAAGGCTAGCTACCACAGGAAAATTTTGGAGAATATCTGTTTTTTTAA